AAACAAATTAAAAATATTTTATATTCTCTTGTGCAAACCTCCATTCTCTTGAATTCTGAGAAATTCAGCATGCAACATGTATGTATGTGGACTTGTAAACGAAATAATAAAAATTAAAACAATACCACATTAGCGACCATGGAACTTGGTGGATACAGACATGAATATGGACATGGAAGACATCCCTGATTCCTCTGATGTTGTTGGTTTCTCCCCTCCTGTGGTTCCCACTTCTTCCCATTGCTTTGCTCAGCCACTTTGAGCATAAAGGCTGTACATATTAATAGCGAAGTCATGGTCCATTAATATAAAGAAACAGGTCTCAACCAGAGGCAGTTTTGCCACCTAGGGGACATGTAGCAATGTGTAGAGATAATTTTGCATGTCACAACTGGGTGGGCATCGATGGATAGAGCCTGAGGATGCTAATATGTGCCCCAGAATGCATAAGGCAGCCCAAGGACAGAGGATCATCTAGCTCAGGTTGTGGGCGGTGCGGAGGCTGAAACATCTGTGTATAAATAGCACCCACTGCATTTTTGCAGTTCGGTTGTCTGATCGACATTAAAAACACTTCGATTTTACTTTAAGGATATTAATTGATTTCTTCACTTTCCCTCCATCTTGAAAAGAGCTCAGGTGAGCTTTGTCTCCTATCCCCCCTACTCCCACCCCCAATAACCTAGTTAACACTCTCCCTAGTTGGCAGCTTATTAGCTCCTGGTAGACAAGAGCTAATGGAAGGCTGATGCTTAACCAAGATGCACATTTCAGGGTTGCCTCCTGGGGTGCTGTGACTTAATACTCAGGAGTTGAGCACATTTATATTCTAAACCCGATGGATTCTTTGAAGGCAGCTTTGATTTGTGTTTGGAAAGCATTTTCAAGGACTGACGCATGGAGAAGAGCTGGTCCACGTGTTGGCCCTTATAAACCTTAAAGATGACTCAACAAGTTGAAACTCTCAGGCTAGCATAAACACTGTGAAAATGAGCGTGTTTTATAAAAGGGAGCACATACCATGCTCATTTTTTTAAATCCTGTTTTGCTCTGAGAAAGAGGACTGTGAAAGTGGTGTCCCTGGCTTTGTTCCTGGGGAGAGCAGGTGTGTGGACCTCACAGTTTGAGGTGGAGATGGGGTCCTCAGGTGAGATGACCCACTGAGGCACATGGTTAAGATAACCTGCAAGACTGGGCTCTGTGCACTCTCTCATTCTGTTTGCTTGCTGGGTTAGTGACTTCTTAGTGCTATGACTGAGGATTTGGCTGAAACAAAGGAGGAAAGACTTACTTTTAGCCTTGGGTCTCAGAGGGTTCAGTCCGTGGCTGCTTGGCTCTGTTGAGTCTGAGCCCCATGGTACAGACAGAGTATGAGACAGAGAATGCTCACCCAAGGCAAGGAACAAGGTACAAAAGGGTCAGGCATAAACATCCCGCCCCACCCCAGCCCCTAGTTACCTACTTCTTCCAGCTAAGTCTCCCCTCCTACAGTTTCTACAACCTTCCAAAACAGTGCCACCAACTAGGAGCCAACATGTGAGTCTGTGAGGGATGTTTCACACTCACCATAGCAACCGTCCCAGAATCAGAAGCTTCTGTGATCCAGCTCTGGAACAACACCCTGCAGCAGATCCATTGACTCTGGTTTTATCACCACACCCCCAATGTATTGATCTCCATAGAGTGGAAGGCATTGGTAAAGGGATGCAGGAAAAAAAGGGAAGACTCTTTGTGCCAGTAAAACATGGATTACCCCAGGTTGGGAGGAGAGCCGCTCAGGCCAGAGACCAAGACAAAAGAGACCAGTAAGAGAGAAACAGTGGGGTTGAGAACAGGACCAGGGGCCTAGACACAGGATGCTGGTGGGAATGGGACACCACATGACCAAAGCCTGAGAGGAGTGAGGAGCAAAGACTCCACTGTACAGACTGTAAGTGGGAATAAGGAACCTGTCAATTAGGAGGGCAGCTCAGGGCAGGGAAGGGGCAGCTGAGTTCAGCAGTGAGAAGGATGAGGGAAAAAGCAAATGGCGGCAGAATGGTTCAGATGAGTGAAGCACCTCAATCAGAGCACTGCTGCTGTGGGGACAGGTAAGGGAGGGAGAAGCAGAGAAGTCTAGGAGGACAAGGACAAACAGGTAAAACCAGATGCGAGTAACTCATCGATTCGAAATTCTTATCAACATCTGATGCAGTTGTGTAAAGTTTTAACCAGAGCTATTTTACTAAATTAAAATCTCAGAGTTCATTGTGTGTGTGTGTGTGTGTGTGTGCATGCGTGCGTGCACATGTGTGTGTGTGCAGAAGGTATGGGTGTGTTGGTTTTACTTCCTTTGCTATGATAAAAAAAAACCTTGAGATAAATACTCTAAGGAAAGAAATGTATTTTAGCACACAATTCTGAAAGGTTACAGTCCATCATTGTGGGGATGTCGAGGCAGCAGGAACTTGAAGCAGCCATTCACATCCACAAGAGCAGAGAGAATGCCTGCCTGCATGCCTGCCAGCTTAGCTGACTCTCCTCCTTGCCATTCAGTCTTGGGAGGGAATAGCCCATGAAATGATGCCACTCACATTCAGGGTAGCTCTTTCCATTTCAATCAACTCGGTTTAGACCATTCCACACACTCATGTCCACAGGCCAATCAATCTAGACATTTCCTCACTGAGCCTCTTTTTTCCAGGTCATCCTAGATTATGTCAAGTTGACCACTAAAACCAACCATCACAGTGGGTGTGTATATGAACGTGTGAGTGCCACACATGTGCATATATGTGTGCTGATGCACATTTGTGGATGCACATTTGTGCCCGTGTGTGTGGAGGCCAGAGGACATCAGGAGCCCTGCTATATCTTTTTCCGTCTTGTTCCCTTGAGACAGAGTGCCTCACTAAACTTGGAGCTAGGCTGGTAGACAGCAAGCTCCAGCAATCCTCTTTTCTTCCCTACCACCACCACTGGGACTGCAGGCATGCACAGCTACACACAGCTTTTGTGTGTGAGTGTGTGTGTGTGTGTGTGTGTGTGTGTGTGTGTGTGTGTTGGCGGTGGTGCTGGGAATTTTGACTCAGGTCTTCACACTTAGACAGCAAGCATTCTTACCCATGGAACCATCTCCCAGCCCTAGAGTTCATTTTAACAGGATGTTGGGTGCTTTGGGATGATGGTTTTACCCTGTAAAGATTTGTTTCTTGTACTTGTTTAATAAAATGCTGATTGGCCAGTAGCCAGGCAGGAAGTATAGGTGGGGCAACCAGGCAGTAAGTAGAGATGGGACAAGGAAAACAAGAGAATTCTGGGAAGAGGAAAGACTCAGTCTACAGCAGTCACCTAGATACAGAGGAAGTAAGATGAGAATGCCTCACTGAAAAAGGTACCAAGCCACGTGGCTAACACAGACAAGAATTATGGGCTAATATAAGCTATAAGAATTAATAAGAAGCCTGAGCTAATAGGTCAACTAGTTTATGATTAATGTAGACCTCTGTGTGTTTCTTTGGGACTGAACAGCTGCAGGACTGGGTGGGACAGAAACCTCAATCAACAGCTGGGGAAACAAAACAAAACAAAATATTATAGACATCACTCTTACCTTGAGTTTACCTGTGTCCCTGGGCCCTTGGTCTTAAGTGCACTGATTATAAAACATTAGAGATAGAATATATTTGAATACTACTTATGCAAAGACTTGTGCATATTCTCAAGAGGATACTGAAGGGTCTAGCTGTGCCTTCTCTGCTGTTTGCCTAAGTGTTCCTTCCATGTCTGTGCGTTGAAGACTCACTCCCCAATTCATGGCACTATTGGAAGGTGGTGGAATCTTTAGGAGCCAGGGCCTGGTAGAAGGAGGTTAGGTCGTTGGGGACTTACTCTTAAAGGGAATATTAGGACCTCAGCCCCTCCTCTTCCTCTTATTTGTGAGCTGAGCATCCCACTCCACTGTGAGCTCCTGGTGATGTGCTGCTTCACCATAGACCACAGTGCCCAGCAGCCGTGGACTGAAAACGGGAGCCCAAACCATTCTTTCCTCCTTACAGGTGAATTTCTTTCAGGTATTTGCCACAAGGATGGAGAGCTGACTCTCCCAGAGCATCCTGCCCATCCCAGTATCTATCACAGTGCAAATGAGTGAACTGTTCTTTAAGTGTTTTCCTATTAAATGATCATTTATGGGGTATCTGATATGATCCAGGGCTATGGTAAATTTACCTAAGTTCAGAGATATTTGCTCTAATTAAGGATTTATTATTTTTAAAATTATACACATGTGGGGAAGAAGGTATGTCCATGTTGAATGTTGGTGCCCACAGGGGCATAGGAGCCGCCTGGAGCTGAAGTTACAGGTTGTGAACACCCTACATGGGTGATGGGAACTGAACTCAGGTCCTCTGCATAAACAATACACTCAACCACCAAGCCAACTCTCCAACCTTCTTCATTGTAATCAAAACAGATATATTTCCTGTCTCAGTTAGGGTTTCTATTGCTGTGAAAAGACACCAGTACCACGGCAACTCTTATAAAGGAAAACATTTAATTGGGGCTGGCTTACAGTTTTAGGGGTTTTGTTCATCATCATCATCATCATCATCATCATGGCAGGAAACATGGCCACATGCAGGCAGACATGGTGCTGGAGAGGTAGCTTGTGAGTTCTACATTTGGATCTGCAGGCAGGAGAAGAGCCTGTGCGTTACACTGGTTGTAGCCTGAGCTTATAAAATCTCAAGGCCCACCTCTACAATGACACACTTCCTCCAGCAAGGCCACACCTCCTGGTTGTGCCACTCCCTGTGAGTCTATGTGGGCCGTTCCTAATCAAACCCCACATTTTCATACTCATTTCAAGAAACTGACATCTAGATAAAATTAAAATAAGCATTTAGTAAACCTGGTGATAGCAACCTTATGGAAAATTATTTACATCTTTCAGCATTTGTCTATTGACACCAGTGCTATTGTCCCAGTGGTCCCCTAATCCTCTCTGTTTTGGCCCTCAGGCATGCGTCAAGGCAACGACTACGGCACCCAGTACCGATCGGCAGTCTATCCTACTTCCAGTGCTCAGATGGAAGCAGCCCTGAGATCCAAGGAGGAATACCAAAAGGTAGGACTCCCTAGCTTTGGCCTACTCAGACCAGTGCGACCTGGGCCAGCTCCGTGTTAAAGGGAAGTCTGACACTGTCCACCTGTGATCATACTCTAAGACATACATTTTAACCATTTCTGCCAATCTCCGAGCAGAGCCATTGTCCCAAAGAAATGTGTGTAGTAAGAGTCGAAGAGTGGGCCTGTGGGTAATTGGCCTCAAAACCACCTCATCGCGGTGAATATGTGGTGCTTTCCTTCTGACAGAAACTGTTTAACTCACAGACATTGCTCTTCTGTGTTCTGGAGCTAGAATCTGGAATCAAAGCCGTGACGAGGAGGGCTTGGGGTCTGAAGGAAGGACCAGTCCAGGCTATTTTCCCTGTCAGTGTCACATGATCTTCCCTGTATGTGCGTCTCTGTGTTCAGTCCTGCATTTATAAGGACATCAGTCCTGTTCAATTCAGGCTAACCCTAGTGACGTCATTTAACTTGATGACTTCTGTGAAGACCCAGTTCCATATAAGGTCATGTTCTAAGAGCGTAAGGCTCCAATAGACCCTTTCTGGAAGACATAGATCAACTCATGATGTACACTTCCCATTGCCAGCAACAGTAAACTTAATTATAATAAAAGCATTTATCAGAAACATATACATTACATCATGAAATAATTGTTCTCACTATTAATTTTTGTACTCTTTTAGAAAAATCTCCAGTAGAGATTTGGTTCTCTAAACAAAACAAAACCAAACTTGAGTTGCTTTCATTTTTAGAATTCTGTGATAATCCTCAAATCTTAATGAAGATATTTTCTGACTTAGCAGTGGCTACTCTGGTGCTGTAAATCATGTGGGCCAGCTGCCACAATAATAGAGGGGGTGCTGAGGAAGGCTGGGATGAGGCTTGCCTGTAATTGAGGTGCATTGCCTCGTCAGATCCACTGTGGTAGGAGATAGGGCTGAGGGAGCTACTGAGAGAGTTGGCTCCTCCCATCATGTATCTAAGGCTGTGACATCAACTTGGATGGTATGGTAGACAGTGTGGGGCACAGTCCCTATGGCTGTTGTCCAAACATGGTTCCCTCTGTGAATCTGGGCTGAATTTTGTGACATTTCTCATATTCTTTTATGGTGAATGTAACATCAAGAGATCTCCATTTTCAGGAACCAAAGTGTCTCATGATGTACCCATGGGTGTGAGGACGGAGCAATGAAGCTAACTACATAACTGTGCCTAGGTGACCATTATGATGTCCGTTTTAGCCCAAGTCTTAAGGTGGCAGAGCTCAAGGTGTGTAAGGGCTTTTGAGTGAGGACCCTCTGGGATGGTGATTACCAGGAAATAGGATCAGGAGACAGGAGGAGTAGACGAGAGAAGGAGTAAGGCCCATGCTGGCCGCTGCCAAGAACAGATTGCTTGGGCCTCGTGAAATCACCTGTCATTCTCAGCAAGAAGCATCTTTCCCTGGGAGCCGTCATACATGGTGTCACCTTGCGCTTCTGGCTATGGAGACTTCATCTCAGGGTAGAAGTCAAGAGGTATGTGGCGTGAAGATGAGAGAGACATTATCAGTTCATGGAGCTGCAGAAACTAAGAAGGGTCCCTGTAGGACAGGCCTCAGCAGCAAGGTCTGTGGGAGAGGGAAGAGACCTGATGGAGAAGTAGCTGGAATTAAGTGTGTGCATTCTAGTTTCATTTCTGTTCATCCTGACCAGAAGCAACTTCAGGGAGAAACAAGTTTATTTGCCTTACAATTCCAGGTTACAGCCTATCATTTCTGGAGAATCAAGGTGGGAACTTGAGTCAGCTAGCCATCTTACAGAAAACAGTAGTGAGGGAGAGAAAATAAATGCCTACATGCTGCCTGCCTGTCTGTGCTTAGCTGCCTGTGTCCTCTCTTCTACAGTTCAGGACGGCCCTGCCCAGGGAATGACGCTGCCCGCAGTGGGCTGGGCCTTCCCATATCAATGCCTTTAAGTCAACCCTCCCCCACAGGCATGCCCACAGGCCAGCCCAATGTAGATAATCCTTCACTGATACTCTCATCCATGATGTATCAAATTGGCAATACAGCTAGCCATCCCAGTGTGTAAGCAGTACCAGAAGCAGCATCATCCACAGTGTCCTTCTCCTACCAGCTCTGCTCCCTAGTCAGGAAGGACTGCTAACTACAAAGGCTCAAGGCCAATCCCACCAAGGGGCTCTCTGAGGTTGTGATGGAGCTGAGGAAGAAAAGCTTGAGGTGATTTCCCAGTAGGACTTCTTGTTGTGATTATGTAGTCCCACCGGAGATAGCTTTAGATACAGAAGTTATGAGCAGAGCTATGCACAATGCTTAAACAGCCTTATAGCAGAGGTAGTCACAGTAGGATTGCAGCCACAGAAAAGGGTATTTACTAAATTCCAATCACTCTTCTAAGTTTGTATATAAATGAAGTCTGTTGCAAATCTTCGATTATCTATCCATATCTCTATCATCTATCTGCCATTTTGATATCTATCTATCTATCTATCTATCTATCTATCTATCTATGTATGTATCTATCATCATTATCTATCTGTCTATCTATCTATCATCTATCTATCTATTATCTATCTATCTATCTATCATCATCTATCTACTATCTATGTGTAGATACACTTAGACACAGTGTGTATATCTATCTATTTCTTTGCTGAAAATTGCATGTTTTGGTGTAGTTCTGGGACTTTGTTTCTACTTTGGGAGCTTGTGCGAATTTCTGCCCATTCTCTTTGTATAACTGTTAATATCTATAACCCACCCCCAAATGAGTCAACCATTTGCCTATGAAAGGTGATACAATTAGCTTTTGCTCAGTAAAGAGTCAGTCTTTTCTTTTACATTTACCTTAAAAGTACTCTGGCTTCCAAAGGACCCCGCAGCATCAAGGTTGGTTCTCAGATTTTGTCTTCCCAGCTGGCCAGACAGCAGCCCAGGATGGCCTTGCCTGTGTTTTATGTCAAGGATGACCTTGGACACATTTTGGAAACAGCAAAGACATTTCTCTTAGGGGCATCAGTTCTTCACAATGCCCTCCATTATTTTGCCCCAAATATGCAGACTTATTTTGAGAGTAGATTCTCCTTCTGTTCATTCCACGTGTCCTCTTTTCCCCTTCAGAGTTCGCCATTACAGCCTTCCATCCTGGCCATTGATCTCCAAGTCTGCAGGGACCCTTGCATACTGACTATAATGTTGACTTCGGTTACTAATTTGATAGTCTCTGCTAGTTTGTCCCCCAGTGACCTGCAGGAACCGGCTTCTTCAGCAACTTCTTTCTATGTGGTGCTGGAGTAACTGCCGTGCTTACCACAAAGCGGCCGTTTGAACATAAAATTAGCTGATTTTATCAGAGGGACCAATTGTTGAGCTAATTAGATGTGTAGGATGCTGAGGAGCCAGAAACCAAAAGTGATTTTCCCCTTCAAACTGTGGTTTTCTGCAAAGTTGGCTGGGCTGTCAATCCCAGGCCCACTTGTAACCTGAAGAAGAATTTTTCTCACTTCTGATCTGATAGCAGAGGTGGAGGCAGGAAGGTCCAAGAAGAATCAAACCTGCAGGAGTGAAACCAAAGCTTTATGCTGGGTTTAATGACCTGGACAGAGCTGAGATCTGCTAAAGGAACATAAAGCTACTTCATGTCTTGGTGAGCCGAGGACATGTATGAAAATGTGGCCAGTGCCCTCATCTTTGAGGATGGCTTCTGTAGTCACTGCAGGTCCACCCCTTGGGCTCACCCCTCAGCACCGCTTAACCAGGTCACTGCGGTACATTAGTTGCTGTCCTCACTGCTGTGACCAAATGCTTGAGAAAAAGAAACTTGAGGGGGCAAGGGCTTGTTTTGGCTCACAGAGAGGATATAGCCCACCACAGTGAGGAAGGTGTGGTGGTAGGACCGTGAGGAGGCCAGTCACACTGCCTACACAGTCACAAAAAGAGAGAATGAGACATGGGGTGCAGCTGAGGAACCTCAAGACCCGACACACAAACTCTTCTTCTTCTTCTTCTTCTTCTTCTTCTTCTTCTTCTTCTTCTTCTTCTTCTTCTCCTTCTCCTCCTCCTCCTCCTCCTCCTCCTTCTCCTTTTCCTTCTCCTTCTTTTTTTTTTTTTGAGACAGGGTTCCTCTGTAGCTTTGGAGCCTGTCCTGGAACTAGCTCTTGTAGACCAGGCTGGCCTCGAACTCACAGAGATCTGCCTGCCTCTGCCTCCTGAGTGCTGGAATTAAAGACGTGTGCCACCACTGCCTGGCTATGAACCCATTTCATAAAGCTATGTTTTACCTCAAAGCCCACTCTCAGCTCAGGACCAAGCATTCAAATGCAGGAGCCTCTGGGAAGCTTTTCACATTCAAACCACAATCTCTGACTTCCGCCCCCAGATACAGCTCCCATGTAGCTGCTTCTCCGTCACAGCTACCGTCACTGCCATCTGTTCCTGGACCAAAGAACTTTTCATTTCTCTATTACTTTAGCTGCCTTTACAGGGCAGCCACAGTGGCCACCATTTATATATCATCTAAGTCATGTCCCTCTCTGGTGCCTGACGCTGCTCTGTCCTCCTTCGTGGATGTCTGCAACCAGACTCCATACAGTCATTGCCCTCTCTTCCCATAACACATCTGTAACTGCTAGTGACAACCCCCCTCAATGTGCCTACAGCGTCACATGGAATTCCTGCCCAAAACTCAGAGCCTTTGAATGAAGCTAGAGGATTTCTGGCCCCCCGGGGAGTCAGAGTGAGAAGCGCAGGCTTGGATAGAAGGTGCCCTTTCAGTACCACTTGCCCTCTTCATCTGGTTTTGCAAGGAAGTTGAAATGTGTGTGTCTATTCCCTCTACCTTCAAGAAAGACCCAATTTAACAGCTCCTAGAGGAAAGTGGAATAGCAAAGACAATCGTGAAATAATCCTAGAGCTGGAAGAATGTTTGTGAAAGAAAAATATCTCTCTAAATCTCTTTTTCTTCTCCTCCTCCTTCTCTTCCTCTGCCCCTTCCT